CATCGGGCTCCTTGCTCAGCAGGGAGCCTGCTTCCCCCTCTCTCTCCCTCTGCTTGTGCTCTCTCTGTCAAATAAATAAAATCTGAAAAAAAAAAAAAGACTTTATTTCTCTTTTTGGAGTAGGTCTCTCTTATAACAATGTTAAGCCTCTTTGATATATCTGTCCTGTTGAGATTCTCAGATAGGACCTGTCATATAGGGGGCCTGGGGGATAGGGCCATACATCAATCATCTAGGGAAAACGTGGGTCCTCAAAGAGGAAGCCAGACCTCTGAAGTTGGTCTCAGCAGGAAAGAAAATTCCTTAGTCTTTAGTTTCCTAAATCTAGATTTGGGGGAGTGGAGGCATACTGAGTGCACCTGAGGATTCTCTCAGAGGTGGGAGGGTGGTGGGCTCTGCCATTCTACAGCAGGCTGGGGACTGGGCTCAGAAACAAACTGGGGAGGGCCACAGGCCAGGTTCTCCTGTCCCAGGGACTGTCTTCCCTTTGCTTATGTCATCCCAAGCCTTGAGGCAAGTTGTAATTTGAAGTTCCAGTCTGGTCTCAGCTGGGCAAGAAGTATTATGCCACATTTGTGGGTCTGCCCTTAGGCCAGGGGAGGAGAGGGAGGCCAGTGTCCCCTGCCCGGGAAGCAGGGTGGTGGTAGCAGCAATAATGCCAAACAAAATGAGTATCTGGGGGTTACATTTGGGGCTGAGGGGTCCATTTGCCGCCCCCCCTCAGTTACTGATTTCTGATCATCCAGATGGTGGAACGGAGCTTCCCTTTCAGGACCTGGATAAATGTATGTCGAATGAACAGAACATTGTCGAAAAGGAAAGGCAATACTTCTAGGAACAAGCAAACCAGCGTGAGGGGTGTCCGAGAGGTACCAAGTATGTCCCAAACGATGGCTGGGTCCCAGTGATGGCAGTCCCAGGCAGTTGGCAGCAGGGACGTACGTCAGGAAGTAGCAGGTCCTGGTCATACAGATAAGGTCACAAGGGACTCCCATCTCTGGGAGGCTCCCCACCCCCAGGAGCAGAGCTCTGTCCTGGGAGCTCGATGAAGAAAAGGAATAATACTGCAACGGTTCTATCAAAGAACAGAAAACTAGAGCCCGGAGGTACCAAACCAGACTCAGGTACACAGAACAAGGGCAAAAACCATTTCATACAGCTGGGAGCCAAAAGCCACAGGGATTCTGAGGTTCTGTCCTCAGGGTGTTGGACCAGGGTCCTGGTCCTAGAGTCTGAAGAAAGGAGCCCTGAAATCCAAGGCTGGGAATCAGGCAGAGTTTGATGCATGCCTAGTAATGAGTTCAGACCCTACTACTACACCTGAAAATCCAGGTGGCAAAGTTAGAAGGTGAAACACTAACAGAAAAAGGTCAAGGCTGCCTCAAAGGAGGGAGGAGCGTCAGATCACCATTCAACAAACGCTGACCAACCGGCCAAAATCTTTTCTCTGGCCTGAAACTTAGTTCCTTCAATTAGTGAATCTGTTTTTCCATAAGTGAAATTGCCTTCTTCACAGGAATAATCTCTGTTCACAGTTTTTATATCATCAATCAAAAAGAGAAAAAGTATTTATTCAGGTGATCAGCCAAAAATTCGGTTATTATTCTTAGTAGTTGTTTATATAACAAGGGACCGTTGTATAATCATTCAAATGAACTTTATTCACCTTATTAATATAGACAACATTTACAAACATAAAGCATGCTGTGCTGAAATTAAGGATTTACTAGTGCTTTCTGGTAACTTTACCTTCCCGTTATCCAATATTGAAAATGGTTTCCTTTGATTTTTTTTTTTTAAGATTTATTTAATTATTTGACAGGGAGAGAGAGAGAGAGAGCACAAGCAGGGGGAGTGGGAGGGGGAGAAGCAGGCTCCCCACTGAGCAGAGAGCCCAATGCGGGGCTCAATCCCAGGACCCCAGGATCATGACCTGAGCTGAAGGCAGATGCCCAACTGACTGAGCCACCCAGGAGCCCCAAAATGGTTTCCTTTATATTATGTTGCTGCAATGCAAATAGGTGTCATACATTTAATTCCCATTCTTTTTTTTTTTTTAAGATTTTGTTTATTCTATTTGAGAGAGATAGAATGCGCGCACACACAAGCAGGGGGAGGAACAGAGGGAGAAGGAGATGCAGGCTCCCCACTGAGCAGGGAGCCCGATGTGGGGCTCCATCCCAGGACCCTGGGATCATGACCTGAGCTGAAGGCAGACGCTTAACCGACTGAACCACCCAGGCGCACCTCTAATTCCCACTGTTAACAAGATTCACAGAATCCTAGCCTTCTAAAATGTTTTATAACTATAGTTCTTATTATGTAGCTATATTACCTACTGTTCACAATTTTGTTTAGAGTAATGCCGTAATTGGAGAAGGCACATAACTCATTCAGTAAAACAATGACATATTATACCAATTAATTACCCCATCATCTAAGCAGAAAGTCCTGACATTTCCTTTGAAGACGCAGTTTTACTTAACCATCATGCACTTTACAAAATAACTTGTTCTTTCAAAATCAGAGTGGCAAGGGCCCCTTCTGAACCACATCCATAATCCAGAACTCTGAGTTCAATAAGGAAACAGATCCGCTCTCTTTGACCACTCTCTATATTCTTCTAGTTGCCCAATTCTGTGGCTAACGCAATTACGCAAACCTAAAAAAGTTAGATTTTCTGAAAGTGGACAGAACGCAACAATCTCATGAATATCAATCTCTTGTCATTTGCCAAAAGTGCAAACTGGCGCAAAATTCAGACATCTTTTCATTTATGAAAGGGTTCCTCAGATCAGAAACTGGATCCCTACACTGAGATTTTCAGATGGAAAAAGCCTCTGGGGAATCTGAAACATGACACAGAGAGGCTTCAGGTAAACTTAGAGATGAAGCCAGAAGTGAAACCTTAAGTTTCCACTGAGCCCAAGGAGTTTTTTTTTTCTTTTACCTCCAAAAGGGCAGAGAATACACCCAAACTCTTTTAAAAGTGGCCACTGGAGTCTATTTCTAGAACAGCTATATCAACTAGCTTGGCTGATGGATTTCTTTTTTTTTTTTTTATTAAAGATTTTATTTATTTATTTGAGAGAGAGAGAGCATGAAGGGGGGAGGGTCAGAGGGAGAAGTAGACTCCCCGCCGAGCAGGGAGCCTGATGTGGGACTCGATCCCGGGACTCCAGGATCATGACCTGAACCGAAGGCAGTCGCTTAACCAACTGAGCCACCCAGGCGTCCGGCTGATGGATTTCTACAGCCAAGATAATGAAGTTAGGCAGGAAAAAGTACAACCCAGGTATTTCGTGCTTTTTGGTTTTGTTTTGTTTTTATTCAGTACCCACAGAGAAGGTCTATGAAAAAGGAAGAGTGCATTAACTCCATTGGGCTAATTTCCTGATTGTAACATTTCCACCCACATGGAGTGTCCTAAAAGTCTTAGAACAGTTGTAAGCTTTAATAACCTCAGGTGTATAAATGCAGCAACCTTGCAAGAAACATTCATCATGTGAAGGTTTGCTTGCCTACAGTCTATACTTCTTTAGTTTTGTGAACTTTTTTTTTTTTTAAAGATTTTATTTATTTATATGACAGAGAGAGACACAGAGAGAGAGGGAACACAAGCAGGGGGAGTGGGAGAGGGAGAAGCAGGCTTCCCGCGGAGCAGGGAGCCCGATGCGGGGCTCGATCCCAGGATCCTGGGATCATGACCGGAGCTGAAGGCAGACGCTTAACGACTGAGCCACCCAGGCGCCCCTAGTTTTGTGAACTTTGATAATACTTTTTAAGGTTTTTTGTTGTTCTTTGTTTCAGTAACTATGTTTGAAGATGGCATCAGCAACTGTTTTTGAGGTATTAGAGCTGAAAACTGCACTAAGACTTTTCGGAATACCCTTTATATGATCCCGTCTGAGTCCTTGTCCTAACTCATTTTACCCATGACTGACATTTAAAGTCCAGAATGGGTTAAATTGTTTTCCTAGGAGTTCTCTTCTTTTCTTGCAACACCCTCAGAGCAAAGCTGGTTCAATGTTTCTCAGGCTCAGTTTCTTACAGCTTTCTCACTCACACATCACTGGAGAGGTGATTAGTTTTGTAAAAAGTACAGAGACTCACGGTTCTCAGACTCTTGTGTTACAGCAATAAATCTCAGCTTCTAAGTGTGATGTCAGTACAACTGAAAATGGTTTGAGGCAGTACTGTGAATATTTAAGTGGTCATATTTTAATAAATTTCCACACATTCACCCAGTTAAAAAAACTTGTCTTGACTTCAGGTGTTTTCTCCCCTTCTCCCTCATCAGTGTTGGCTGGGTTTTTATCTGTGACTTCTTCTGTTTTTATAAGGCTTTCATATACTTCCTGGGCTCTGGCAATTTCTTTCTGTGCATCAAAATGGACTTTTTGCCTGGACAGGAGGGGAACGATTAAATTAAAATCATTAATTCGCTTGTTTAGTTTTCTGATGTTTTCTTGAAACTGCTCACAAACTTGGCTCCACTGTTTCTGTTCAGTTGGTGTCATTGGATTCCCAAGTTTTTTCCTTGACACTAAAATCGCCTCTCTGAGTTGATCAATGGTATCCTTTATTTCCTTTTGCATTAGGATCCATTCTGGTTGGTATCCATTATCGATCAATATTCTGTTAAGGTTGTGAGTCATGGGATCAATATATGAACAGCCAGAAAATTTTTTTAGAGGTTTTCCCTTCCCACTGAGATTGTCAAAGTCTCCTCTGGCCATTGATTCCTGAATGAGATCCTCTACTAAACGCTCTATAGCTTGAGTTATCTTTTGTTCTTTACTCTGTCTTACATCTTTAACAATCAAACTATCGACGAAATACTGGCTTTGTAGTTTCTGCTTCTGATATTCCATCACTTGCTCAGTTGCACGGTCTGCTCTAAACTGCCTATATTGCTTCTCTCGTTGACTTGGAGTTCCAAAACCAATACCTTCAAAACTTAAATAATGCCGGTGTTGGGGTGTTTTATATTTGAATTTGTCTTCTTCTTCCTCTGCTTCTTCAACTTTATTCTGTCGGGCATTTGTTTGTTCTAGCACGTGAGAAAGCACCTTCCTATAAGCTTCTTCGATCCTTATAAATGTTGCAGAATCCGCAGTACTAGAGCCACCGTCTGGATGGTATTGCTTGGCAAGCTTATGAAAAGATTCCCTGACATCATCTGCAGAGCATCCTTCATCCAGACTTAGCAGCCTATAATATTCTCTCATCTTCTTTTTGGATTTATGAGTTGACATCATTCTATTTCTAATGACACCAAGATATGGGAGCATTTTCACTCTATTAGATATCGTTGAAACATTTATCAGATGAGATCTTAAGATTTGAGCCATTGTCACATACATCGTGTTCATAATTGTACCCAGGTATCTTCCTAGAGATGGTCTACAAACAGACAACAAATATAGAGTGAAGAAAGCTGTATTATCAGCAAATCTCATATTTTCAGCAATAAGGAAATTACAGGTACAATAAGGGGCAGTTCTTTCTCATGCTGCTGCCAAATGCTTATAGCTATACTTCACTTTTGTTAGCAGAAAAATGGAAGTTGATGATGCTTAGTATTAACATATTGTGATATAATCTGGATTCTACTCCTCACTAACCAACCACAGAATTTCAGAGCTGGTAGGTTCTTAGAGATTTAATCCAATCTTATCATTTTAAGAGAAAATGTCGGCCCAGAAGGTTAAGCAACATAACCCAGTCACACAGCAAGGTGTAAGGAAAATGGTCAGGTTTAGGGCACAATAAGGTCTTGCTTAATTCTCTGTATCCCTAGCAGATTATAAACTTCATCACCTCCACTCCATCTTAGTGTAATACTGTCTTCATCATCTCAAGGAGTCTTCTCATGAGACTTATCACACATGAAACAGAGAACACGAGCAAGTATGTACCTACTCTGACACTAAATTGAATAGAATCAAGGGTCCAAAAGACTTGAAGCTCCCCACCTTATCAAGAAGGAGCTGTTTGCTACGTGCTAGAAAACCAAGATGAAAGGTGGGCCCTCCCGACACGTTATTAAAAAAAAATAAAATAAAACGCATGGTTTAGCAGAAGAGGACAACTTACACCGAGATAATGGCGATGAAATGCCAGAAGTGGTTTAAGTGCAAGTGGGACTTTGATGTACAAACGCTAAAACTGAGCTCCTGGGGACCCCAATTTTCTGGACAGTTGGGGTCAACGGCTTTAGAGTTGGGATGGTGGTGGCTGAGCCCACGGTGGCCATTGCGCGGCAGCGGTCAGTCCTGACGCGGGACACGCCTCTCCCCGTCCCCTACTCACCTCCACAGCCTTGGGGAAGGCGCTTAGCGGCTCCCGCCCCCATGCTGCGCCTCTGCGCATGCGTGCGCGGTCTGCCCTTCGCTCTCTGCCATCTCGCTGCGGCCCAGGGGGAGTGTCTCCGCTGGACTAAACCATCGGTCGGCTAGCCCTGAGGGGACCACAGTGGGGACGGAGGACAGAATCGGACCTAATCGGGACAGAGGTCCTACTTTAACAGGAAACCCAAGAACCTCGCCTAAAACGAACTCTACCCTGGGGACACAGGCAGGACAATTCGGAAGGCTCCGCCCCGCCTCGGGGCGATCCGCTCCGCCCCCGCTCCCACCTGCCCCGAGGGGGTGGTCCGGCCGATTGGGATTGTGGGAGGTGTAGTTCGCAGGGAAGTGCGGCGCGCTGAGGCCTTCGCAGTGCGCGTGCGCCTTCCCGGAAGGAGGCGGGGGCGGCGGAAATGTGGCAGTGGCCTGCGACGGGGGCAGGCAGAGTCCATTGCAGAGTGTGGTGAGTGTAGGTTGGGACCCTTGAAGTCGCAGTGGCTCGGGGGCGACGGCCCTCGGTAACCTGCTTTTGAGAAGGGACGACGAGGTCGTTTCCCCGAACAGGTCTGAACAGCCTCTTCCGGGTCTGCAGATGGGGCACCAGCGAAGAGACTTGAAAGTTCTACCCAACCCAGAAAGATCTAGCTAACCCAGGCTAGAATTAATTCGTTAATTCAGCAAGTACTTACTGAGCAGCTCGCTTAGCCAGGCGTTGGTAGGTACGGGGTGAGGACAGTTGAGCTCCAAATCAAAACAGGGGTCTCCTGTCTTTTAAGCTCAGCCACGGTCATGGGGATTTCCTGTTTCCCCCTCTTGAACGGGGAGGTAATTTTTTAAAAAAGAAAAATAGGAAAAGGCAGAAAATTGATTTTCTCTGTGTCTGTCTATCAGTAAAATAAGGGTACCAGTAAATGGTAAATGTATATTTAGCACTTACTTTTTGCCCGCTACTGTGCTAAGTGCTTTATGTATAGTCTCTTAAACCTTACAACAGCCCTATGAAATAAAAGTATAGTTATCTTCCTCATTTACATATGATGAAATAACAATTGCATGAAATGCACTGAATTTTTGTGAGAATTACACAAGATATGTAAGCCACTTCACACAATGCCTGGAGCATTAAGCAGTGTATTTTGACTATGCCTCCTTTAAAGGAGCCAGAAATAGGTACTGGCTTTCCTAAGCTTCTGAATTAAAGACAGTATAACAGTTTGCTACCTCCTATGTAGTTGTACAGAGAAAGACCTAAATACTGATGCAGAGGGATTTCCTTATAAGCCAGCAATGAACATAAAGAGTTCTGTGTGCAACAAAATAGTGTTTCTACAGTGTTAACTTTTCTGGCCAACATCTTAAACACAGCATAAAAGTGGAAAAAAAAGCATAAACTCAGCTTTAAAAACTTCTCGTATTTGTATAGCACTTTGCGTTTTACAAAGCACTCATCACAAATCTCATTCTGATTTTTGCACTTTAGAAGTTACTGTACTTAAGCACCATGTAGTTAAGTGCCTTTTGTTAAGTTACTAGAACTCTAAGTCCGTTTCTCTCTTTCAGAGTGTCAGTTTTATAGCGTGATTCTTCACTTGTAGAAGGTGAATTGGAGTTGGCTGAATAATCCATTAGGAACAGTTGCAGCTGCAAAATGCAAACTAGCTAACCGATTCAGGGAATTATTTTTCTCACGTGTAAGAAATGTGGAGGTAGCCAGTTTCTGGGTATTGTATTGGTTCATCTACCAAGAGTTGCCACATTTGCTTTACTATTCTCTCCCTTTCTCTATATATGTGCTTTTTTTTTTTTAGATTTTATTTATTGGAGCGCCTAGGTGGCTCAGTCGTTAAGCGTTTGCCTGCGGCTCAGGTCATGATCCCAGGGTCCTGGGATCAAGTTCCGCATCCGGCTCCTTGCACCGCGGGATGCCTGCTTCTCCCTCTCCCACTCCCCCTGCTTATGTTCCCTCTTGCTGTGTCTCTCTCTGTCAAATAAATAAATAAAAATCTTTAAAATATTTTTATTTATTTATTTGACAGAGCACAAATAGGCAGAGTTGCAGGCGGAGGGAGAAGGAGAAGGAGGCTCCCAGCGGAGCAAAGGGCCCCATGCAGGGCTTGATCCCAGGACCCTGGGATCATGAACTGAGCCGAAGGCAGACGCTTAACTGACTGAGCCACCCAGGCATCCCTTTTTTTTCTTTTTAAGATTTTATTTTTCAGTAATCGCTACATCCAGCTTGGGGCTCAAACTGACAACCCTGAGATCAAGAGTCGCAGGCCCCACCGACTGAGCCAGCCAGGCGCCCCAAGGGCTCTGTTTTAATCCATGTCTTTTTTTTCCTTCTTTTGTTTGCTTGTTCTGTGATAACTGCAAAGAAGTTGATTTTTTTCCAATAAGTTACCATAGTAACCAAAAATCACACTTCCTGAAGCTTGACTTATGGTTCAGTCTGCATCCTAAAACCACATACTGTCCAATGACGCTTGCTAATGGTAACTTCTGGAGCTACAGTTCCTAGAACCACCATGAATATGCTTTCCTTTCTGGGTGTCATCTTTTTTAAAATTATTTTTTATTTTTATTTTTTATTTTAAGTAGGCTCCACACCCAGTGTGGGGCTTGAACTCACGACCCTTAGATTAAGAGTTGCATGCTGAGCCCGCCGGGTGCCCCTCTGGGTGGCATCTTCATTCATTTTTAAACTATTTGCTGAAGAAAGAGTTTGATGCTGGGGTGTCTTGGTGACTCAGTCGGTTAAGAGTCTGCCTTCAGCTCATGATCCTGGGGTCCTGGGATCGAGCCCCACATGGGGTTCCCTGGCCTGCCTCTCCCTCTGCCTGCTGCCTCTCCCCTACCCCCTGCTTGTGCTCTCTCTGTCTCAAATAAAATCTTTAAAAAAAAAGTTTGATGTAGAGTATCAGCTTTTAAAGAAAGAAGGCAGTGGGTTAATTTACATAACACGACAATACTCTAGGGGGATTAGGGAACGGTATGGTGGAAAAGAGAAGATTCACATTCATTTGGATATTTTCTCCCTGTCCCTTTTCCCAACTAGGTAAAACAGTTATCAAACCCTCCTGTATGGGCCACATACGGGGTCTGTGGGACTTTACCAGCGGTAAACCCCGCCCATGACGTTTGATTTTTACCTTTGGCATGGAATTAATGTGATGATTTTAAGTGTCACTTGAGCCTGAATTGTTTGCAGTTGACTGGTGCTGATCTACAGCACTTTCTGTTACTTGAAATTGTGAATAATGTATATACCTCCCTCTAATTGCAGGCCACTGGGGGGAAAACAAATGCGCACTATCTGTGTGGGAACCAAGATTTGAATTGTTTCTAACCCATGTTACATTTACTCACCATGTTTATTGAAATCACTGCTTTACAGCACAGCTACTCTCTGCTTTTCTCACCCTTCAGAATTTGTTTCCAGCTTTATTGAGGTCTAATTGACAAAAACTGTATATATTTGAGGTATACAATTTGATAATTTGATATATGTATATATTGTGAAATCACCACAATCAAACTAATTATCAAGCTAATTAACATATTCATCACCTCACATGGTTACTTTTTCTTTTTTGGGGGGGGGGTAAAAACACGTAAGATCTACTCCCCTAGCAAATTTTTTTTTTTTTTAAAGATTTTTATTTATTTATTTGACAGAGACACAGCGAGAGAGGGAACACAAGCAGGGGGAGTGAGAGAAGGAGAAGCAGGCTTCCCACGGAGCAAAGGGCCCGATGCGGGGCTCGATCCCAGGACCCTGGGATCATGACCTGAGCTGAAGGTAGACGCTTAACGACTGAGCCACCCAGGTGCCCCTCCCCTAGCAAATTTCAAGTATACAATACAGACTTGTTAATTACAGTCAGTCTGGATGTTTGATAAGTTAAAAAGACCAGTATATGGGGGGCGCCTGGGTGACTCAGTTGGGCGTCTGCCTTTGGCTCAGGTCATGATCCCAGGGTCCCGGGATCAAGCCCTGCATTGGGTTCTCTGCTCAGCAGACAGCCTGCTTCTCCCTCTGCCTCTCACCCCGATTGTGCTCTTTCTCTCAAATAAATAAATAAAATCTTTTTTTTTTAAAGACCAGTATATGGAGGGTTTGCCTCCTTTCACTGCTTACCAGTTGTCAAAGATTTGAGCAACAAAACTCTAAACACATTAAAACTGTCACATTAACATTATTTGCTAGAGAATCGTCCAAGATGCTTTATAGAGAGAATAGATTTTAAAGCAAATCTAATTCCAAAACAGCTTTGTAATATGTGAGGCTTCTTCTGCTCAAAAAGCTCACTCTCTAGGAATGCCCCCTGAATGCCCTTTTTGTCTTAGGGCTCATCCAGAGACACCTCAGCTCTGGTGAGGTGATACTGGATCACTTGGTCCATGCTATTCTCAATGGAAGAGCACAGGAAATGAGTATATAAATCCAATTTGTTACCCAAACTCCTTTTGAAGGTGCAATAAATAACATGTATTAAATGAAATTAAAGAATCACATAATTTCTGTTCTTTACTTGACAGCGAGGTTTAATTATCTACTCTGGGAGATATCCACAGTGAGTGAGTGAGTGTGTCTTTGTTCTTAGGAAATACATGTTGAAATATTTATGGAGAAAGGGATATGATGTCTGCAAATTACTCTCCAATGATTTAGAAATAAATGTATATACAGAGCAAGGGAGAAAGAGAGCAAACAATAAACCAGATGGAGTGAAATGTTAATTGGAAAATCTGGATAAAGATTATTTGGAAGGTTTTTGTATTCTTGCAACTGTTCTGTGTAGGCACTTTTTAATTTTTTTTAAAAGAATTTATTCATAATTGCCAAAAATTGGAAGGAACCAAGATGCTCTTCAGTAAATGAATAAACTATGGTTCATACATACAATAAAATATTATTCAGTGATAAAAAGTAATTGAGCTATCAAGCCTTGAAAAGACAAGGAAGAACCTTAAATGCATATTGCTAAGTGAAAGAAACCAGTCTGAAAAGGCTCCATATATGATTCCAACTATATAAAACTATAAAAATAGTTTTAAAAAATCAGTGGATTAAAATAGGCAAAAGGACTTGAATAGACATCTCTCCAAAGAAGATAGACAAATGGCCACAAGTATACGCAGAGAAATTCAGCATCACTGATCATTAGGGAAATGCAAATCAAAACCACAGTGAGAGAGCACCTTACACCCATTGGCTGCTATCAGACAAAACAAAA